TTTTGGTATTATCTCATAGTATATATTTAGTATAAGTCCTACAAAATGTGTGGATAACATTAATTTCACGTCTTCATTTTATTAGTATTTCTACTTTTCTATCAAAAAGCTAATCCAACGAACCCAAGGATTTTTTTTAGGCTAGACCCTTAAGATCTGTTTAAAGATCACTAGTTGAATTATAGACGCGGTCCGACATTCGTGTACGCAAGTCACACTCGCATATTGTTATTCAAGTCACGGTCCGACATTCGTGTACACAAGTCACGCTCGCATATTGTGTTTTTTTTGACTCTATGAATTCAAGTCACGGTCCGATCACTAGTAGAATCATTTGTAATGAAGATTATTGTGTTAATTTTTCTATGTCTTGTACTGAAACCATTGTTTTGTAATTTGAATGAACAGCATGCACCAGCAAATGCCCTTATTCTTGTTGTTACTGCAACATACAGAAGATCCCTCCAGTTTGCGAAAAATGCTGCCCGCCACCACCAGAAGTCTGAGGAATACATGCCAATTTACAATAAAATGTTAAGCTGTCTTGTAGTAGATTGCTCTTGTGAACTTTGTTAAAGGCATTAATAAAATGTTACATCTCTCCAGTGGCAGACGCAGACTTTAAAAACTAGGGGGGCACAATCCAACATTCACAAAGTGACGAAAAAATGGCCGTAAAAGATATCTTATTACAATTCTTCTCTACGTAAATTGCCTTCCTAAATCACATTAGATAAGAAAGTTCTCAATCACAAATTCACAATTGCCTAGAATGAAAAATAACTACTCAACAGCTTCACAAATCACAATTGCCTAAATGCTAAATCCCTAAATGAAGTTTCACAAATCACAATTGTAGCATAAAACACTTTACAATTACAGCATATAAATCACAATTGCAGCATATAAAGCTTCCCAAATCACCAATAAATCAAAATCCCTAAATGCTAAATCCCTAAATAAAGCTTCACAAATCTGAAATCACAATTGCAGCATATAAAGCTTCACAAATCACCAATAAATCAAAATCCCTAAATAAAGCTAGAAACAAGTCAAGCAACCAATAAATTATAAATCAATCGGGTAAATGGAAGAAAAATAGAATAAAATAAAAACGGGAACATACCTCGTTAGTGACAGGAGCACTGGAGCAGTGCGACAGCCAACGATGACGGGAGTGGTAGCTGCGGAGCTCGGCCTCGGTGCTCGAAAACGGAACGCCGAACGCGGATCGTGTGTGGGACAGTGGGAGACGGGACAGGGTCACAGGAAAAATGAGTTTCTACAAGAATGCCGGTAGCCAACTTCCATAGGTTTCAGATTTTTTTTGGGAGAGAGGAGAGGAGAAAGGGGAGAAATCGGTGCTCAGACGGGAGAGACTAGAGAGGAGAGCTGGATAGGCGAGCTGCTGGAGTTTGAAGAGTAAGAGCTGGTAGGTTTCAGTTTTTTTTTTTCCTTACAGGGGCACTTGCCCCTGTAGGCCCCTGTGTAGGTCCGCCCCTGCATCTCTCTCTCTCTCTCTCTCTCTCTCTCTCGTTTTAGAAGAAAGTAGTATGTGTTGAAAAAAAATGAGTATATGGCCGACTTTGGCAGGGGTTTTGAGTGAGACTCGTTTGACTATTTTGGAAGATAAAGATTGATTTGTGTTCTCCTCCATGAGTACATCGAAATCATATATTTACTTACCAAAATTGATCCTCGAATGAATGAGAAATTGATGCTCGAATGAATGAGAAATTAAAAGGAATTTATGTTGGTGGAAAAACTAGAAATATGTTTGTCACACATAGGAAGTTGATGAAAACAAAAACTACTTTAAATAAGGTTGCACTTTGGAAAAGTGTAATCATGTGTAGTATAGAGACTCTTTCCACGTGCCTGCACAGGGAGGATGCAAATCACGGATCGAAATAGGCTTTAGACCTTGAATTCATATGTGAGCATGACTTGCGTACACGAATGTCGGACCGGAAAGGAGCAAAATTGGCCCCTTAAAAGTGTCCACTTGCCATTAAGTGAATGGGCAAATTACAGGAGCCAAGTCTTTATATGTCTCGTTTTTCCATTTTTCTGTACACTCGAATTCATCTGAAAAAACTGGCTGCAATCATTTTAATTTCTGTTTGAGTCTTGGAGGTGGTGGTATTGTTCAGACACTAAATCAATTCGCCCGAATAGTATCTGTAGTGCTTAGAATCTACTAGTTTTACCGTTGTATCCTGGAAAACAGACACTCAATTTAAACCTCAAGCATAGACGGCGAGGTGGCGAATCTGTTTTAAAGAAATTGTGTGTAACACAGGCCTCGGGTTAAAAGTTTTACCGTTTAATTCTTTTTTTTTCCTTATTTGTTATTCGTTTTTGCATATTGATATTTTGCCGTTCTCTTTAAATTACTTGTTATGTCTTACTGTAATTAAAAAATCATTGAATCTGTCAGATTATTAAATATGTTAAATATGTGTAGCATAGAGACTCTTTCCATGTGCCTGCACAGGGAGGATGCAAATCACGGATCGAAATAGGCTTTAGACCTTAAATTCATATGCGAGCGTGACTTGCGTACACGAATGTCGGACCAAAAGGGAGCAAAATTGGCCCCTTAGAAGTGTCCACTTGCCATTAAGTGAATGGGCAAATTACAAGAGCCAAGTCTTTATATGTCTCGTTTTTCCATTTTTCTGTACACACGAATTCATCTGAAAAAAACTAGCTGCAATCATTTTAATTTCTGTTTGAGTCTTGGTGGTGGTGGTATTGTTCAGACACTAAATCAATTCGTCGAAATAGTATCTGTAGTCCTTAGAATCTACTAGTTTTACCGTTGTATCCTGGGAAACGGACGCTCAATTTAAACCTCAAGCATAGACGGTGAGATGACGAATCTGTTTTAAGGAAATTGTGTGTAACACAGGCCTCGGGTTAAAAGTTTTACCGTTTAATTCGTTTTTTTTTCCTTATTTGTTATTCGTTTTTGCATATTGATATTTTGCCGTTCTCTTTAAATTACTTGTTATGTCTTACTGTAATTAAAAAATCATTGAATCTGTCAGATTATTAAATATGTTATATATAATTGAATTTGTTATATTCAAAGTTATATGCAAAAATAGTACGTGGAAATTCAGTGTTTAAATTCACTGCATATACAGTATGCTCCAATCCGGTATTAAAACTGTAAATCCGGTATCTAGTACTGAAACACTTATCCAACAGTATGGACTTAAATGAATGGTAAATTTACTTGAAGGTGGTCCCAGTCTTTACTTTCGAGGTTTAGTAAAATCATTATACATCCAGAAGAAAGATTAACTTGGAAATATGTGCTGTTCAAACAATCACACTACTCTTGACACAAAAATATAAAATAACTTGGGATTTCTCACTTATTTTTGTTTATCATAAAGAAATAAATTACAGCAGATCGACCATATCCGCAAATTTTAGCCAGTATATGTTATGATACAAAAAGAAACTTCTAACACAATCTAATCTCTAAAAAAATTGCAAAAATATTTTGCTGGAACAAGAAGTTTGGAAGCGTGCTATATACTTACATAAGATGAACAGATGCGGAGCAGTAAAAGCTGCAACTTTTTGAGCACGCTGGCCATCGAACTTGTAGGTCTCCTTCATTTCTTTTTTCATTTTTCGTGCCTCACATTGATCTGATTTCACAGCAGTCTACAAAAGAATAGTCACCATATTTGTTAGAATTTATAAAAAAAATAAAAAAGGGATCGTCCATAAAGCGATGAAAAGTGGAAAAGAACTGTTAGAAATATCGAAGAGGAGAAGAAGGAGATGGAAACAAGAAATGAAGAATAAGGCTCGAACACGTATGTGATACATTGTCCTAAAACGATATTTGCTTCCTCTAGTATACTTTTACGATTTTTGACAAACAGTTTAGAGGATTGACAAGTTATCAAGAAAGGAGTACAAAAGAAAAAAATGATTCTTTCTAGTTGAACTTGTTAAAAAACTTGAAGAAGGTTGAATATGTATTAGAATGTGAAAAATCAATTGTGGAAATGAATGAAGAAATATTATGTTGTTTTCTTATGTTTGGAATTGGAAATCTATCAGTTACTTATAGATTTCTAACATTATACCATGAAAAGGCTCCAAACACTTGTGAAAAGTTGAGAACTTTTCACCAAAAGGCACCAGAAATTCAAATGAAAAATCGGCCCAACGGCTAAATTTTTTAACCATATGTATGCATGGTTATATTCTTATGTACACATAGTAGAAGTAAAATTGCTTCAATTTCCTACAACAACTTCTTGTGTACACAAGACCATTTGGCTTGTGCTTACGCATGGTTAAAAAGAATTCACCCAACATTGCCTTCCAATTTCATCCAATGTAATTTTTCAATTTCATCACTAATTCATTCATATTTCAACCCAAATTTTGAACAACAAATAATTATAATAATTATATAACAAGAACCCCATCGAGGAAAAAATGAAAGCACACAGAAATCCTTCAAAGAACAAAGAGTCTCAGCTTTCTTCAAACTAGGGAAAAAGATTTTTTTTTCATCCTTTTTTAGATATCACGACCAGCATTGTCATATAAGATTTTGCACCTTCCGTTCTTTCTTTTTTGTTAAGGAATATAATCCTATATCGAATAAAGATGTAAATATAGACCAATTTATAAAGGATAGGGCTATTCCTCTTAACAATATTGACCTTTTAAGATGGAACCCCAATTTTTAATATGGTATCAAAGCCCATTAAGCTCTAACGAGCAATTCGATCCGGTTAAGACTCCAAAAGTGAGCATACGGATTTCAAGATTAGTCTGTTCAAAACGAGCCACCATCTTGAGGGGGCATGTTAAGGGATATAATCCTATATCGAATAAAGATGTAAATATAAATCAACTTATAAAGGATTGGGTTACTCCTCTTAACAAGGTTGGCCTTTTAAGATTGAATCCCAATTCATAACATTTTCCTTCTTCGTCTCTAGACCGCACGGCCTCTGCTACTTGGTTCTTGAATTAGTAGGATCTTTCTCATCTTTCTCCTCTTCCACATCACGCGTCTCTTTTCGAGGTAAAAACCCTGCTGGAAATTTTTCTTCACCTTTTAGAACTATCACCCAGCCAATGGGAGCTCGAAATGCGGTTTCAGTTAAATTCTTGCTCCTTATTTCCAGAACTTCAATTTCAGCAGAGTGGTTGTCAAGATTTGAATATGTAGAAATAATGGTTTCACATTCCCATTGTTCTGATTCGTCTCTACTTTTCTCCACAAGTACTACCTCTTGATCAGCATTTTCATTTTCATACTTTCCAGCATATTTCTTGCACCATAGCATCGCAATTGCGGTAGATTCCGATGATTCAATATCTCGTGCTTCCTCAAGAACCAAGCTTTCCGTAGAGCTATCCTTAAAGGCATGTATGATCTTTTGTGCAACGGATTCTTGACCTTTATTTTCTTCGTCCAGTTAATCTCCATATCCTTCTTTACTGTCTGTACCATATTCTTGAAGTTTTAGTTGTTGGGTTTATTAATTTGTCATGTGGACCTAAATATATAATTAATTGTGTATAACGCTATCCTAAAGTTGAGTCAAATTAACGTGATCTAATAAAAAATTAAATTGTTGGAATTAGGGCATCTAAATAAAGTACGGGCTGGATTATATGTGTAAAGCTTGGATCCATTAAGGTTGTATTTGATGATGAGCCAAATACATATGATAACTATAAATAAGGTTATGGTCCCCAATTCATATGAAACTTATAGTTCATTGTGTCATCCCATCAACACAAGAATTAATAGAGTAAGTATGTTGAAGAGGAAGATCAAGAAATCCACAATCAAGAATCAAGAAAAAGGATTGGAGCAATTAAATCAAAGAACAATATAATCAAGATTATGCAACAAGAAGCAAAAATAAAGATCAAGATCCCAAGAACCAAAAGAGCCAATAATCAAGATTCAAAATCTAGAATCAAGATCCACTAATAAGAAATTATTCCCAAAGAATTAAGGTATGTTTCGCACTATTAATTTTCTTGATGATTTAACATGAAAGATCTTAGCAATTAAACAATTAGCTTTTCTAGTTTTATAAAGTTTAAAGTTTCAACATTTAAAGTTTCAACAAATGGTATCAGAGTCAACTTTATATTAAATCATTGAGATTTTAGAAGGAATTTTAGGATTAAAATTCATGCTTTGAATTCCTAAATTTTGGAATGTGAATTTTAGTCCCAAATTTTAAGATTTTGAATTAAGAATGTACAATTGATGAAGTGTACAATAGTCCCTGGACGATACGCCAATTACCGTAAGTGCTGGTACAATGATTTGAGAAGGAGACGAAGGGTATAAAGGTCTTCTTGCCATCATGTGGACATGACAAAAAGGTAGTGCGTACTGCGCATCGCCATCGATATTAGATTGACACATTATGCATTCAAGAAAAATCTTATGCTCAGCATATAAAGCAAAGATTTTGAGTTTTAAAAAAATGGAATTCCATTCAATTTGATCCCCCCTCTCTCTCACACACATTGAGGGATTAGGTATCCTTTTACACGAAATGACATTGTTTTTGTAGTATTTAATATTCGAAGTGAAGAAATTGGCAGCAAATGCATTTCTTTATGGTTTTACTATAGAGCACCGAAGGTACTCTTCTGAAACAGCTTTCTGTTAGAACCCACAAAGAAAAATCAAGAATATAGGAAACTGAGGGGTGATTTCACTTTACAATTAAATTCTTGATCTTGATAGAGCCTAGAAACTGTTATATGGAGTTCTCATTATCACTTGATATCCGATGAATAGCACTTTTGGAAACTGTACAGTGCTTTGCGTTGGGTTTTCTATTGTTTGCAGCGTCCAGCTGCTGCGACGCTCATTTTCGGTCACTACGGCATCTTAGAACTGAATTTTTTAAAATAAAAATAAACGATAAGGATTAAAGGGGGCAATCAATTTCAAATCTTGGTACTTCAAGTTTATTTCAGATTACTAATTTTTTAAAATAAATTAGTTGAAACAACATGTTACCAAACATTTTTTGTCTAAATTAATTTATTTGGAATATTAGGAAGATTGTGTCTACGTAATTCATGTGTAGTATTGACTGGCCCAAAGGAAGGTTAATATTTGATCGAATTATTTACATGCATGTGGTGATAAATATGTGACAATTGTAAAGTTTTTAATTATGTGAACATTGAGTTGATCCAAAGATAGACTTGATGTTTGACTGGATTTATTGTCAATATTTGATTACTACATCAAGAGTGCCACTTACAAGTCGGTATTTATGTCCAAAGATTAAATATAAATATTGTGCTTGGTCTCTTGTGATGGGGTTCACCATTATTTGAAATTATCGATTGTCTAATATGGATTCCTATATAAACATGTCAATTAAATTTAAGTTCTATATTCAGTTAATCCATCAACTTCTACAATATCTACCATAATCAATTCAATTCATGTGCTTAAACAAAAGTTTAATGGCTGGAAAAAGAATGTTTGTATCGTTCTTGATGGCATCGATCTAGACCTTGCATTAAGGATTGAACAACCCATTAATCTTACGGATAAAAGTTTCACTAAAAAAAGGGCACTCGGATAACTAGAATCATTCAAGCCGCATAAGTCTTATGATCATGAAGCGTAGAATTTCAGCAACATTCGGGGGCGCTGTGTCTGACGAGGTAATTATTGACAAGAAATTTCTTTAAAAAGTTGAGAAATGCTTTGCAAGAGTCGATAAAGGCGAAACTAGCATCCCTTTTGGTGAACTTAGTTTCACTAAAGTATAAAGATAAAGAAAATATAAGGGAGTACGTCATAGAGAAGTCTCATCTTGCTTCAGAACTAAAAACATTAAAACTTGAGTTTTCTGATGACTTGCTTGTGCATTTAGTTTTGATTTCAATTCATGCACAATTCGGTTAATTTAAGGTAAGTTACAACTGTTAAAAGGGAAAGTTGATTCTTAATGTATTTATTCCATATTGTGTGCAAGAATAAGAAAGACAAGTTATAAAGAATAAGAAAGCTACATTTCAGAACCGAACCGACCCATGGACAGCCCTAACTTTGAATCTGGTAAAAAATTTACTGTTTTGGAAGATAAAATCTCCATTGCATACTTATCAAAAAATGGAATGGATGGTGTGAAACTTATGTTGGTTTCACCCAAGTTTGTAAGATTTGATGGGTGATTGATACTTCTTTCATAGTACCGTAATATTTTTTGTGAAAAACCAAAGAAAAAAATTAAAAGACTAAGGGGGCAATCAAATTTCAAATCCCGGAGCTAAAATTTATTTCAGATTACTAATTTTCTAAAATAGATTAATTGAAACAACATGTTACCAAAGTAACATCTCTTTCCTAAATTAATTTATTTTAAATATTAGGAAGGTTGTGTATACATAATTCATGTGGGTATTGACCGGCTCAAATGAATGTTAATATTTGGCCGAATTATTTATACACTTGTGGTAATAAATATGTGACAATCGTAAAGTTTTTCATTATGTGAACATTGAATTGATCCAAAGAAAGACTTGATGTTTGACTGGATTTATAGTCAATATTTGATTACTACACCAAGAGTGCCACTTACAAATGGTATTTCTGTCCAAAAACTAAATATCAATGTTGTGATCGGTCTTTTGTGATGGGGTTCACAATTATTTGAAATTATTGACTGTCCTATACGGATTCATATGTGAATATGTTAATTAGGTTTAAATTCTCTATTCGTTTAATCCATGTACTTCTACAATACCTGCCATAATCAATTCAATTCGTGTGCTTAAACTAAAGTTTAAGGGTTGGAAAGAAAACGTTTGTATCATTCTTGGCAGCATCGATCTAGACCTTGCATTAAGAACTAAACAACTCACTAATCTTACGAATAAAAGTTTCGCTAATAAAAAATGGGAGTCGAATAAGTGGAATCGTTCAAACCACATAAGTCTTATGATCTTGAAGCGTAGAATTCCAACAACATTCAGGGGCACTATTTCCAATGAGGAAACTACTGCCAATGAATTTCTTAAAGAAGTTCAGAAATGCTTTGCAAAAGGCGATAAAGATGAAACTAGCATGTCTTTTGGCGAACATAGTTTCACTAAAGTCTAAAGGTAAAGAAAATTATAAGGGAGTACATCATGGAGATGTCTTATTTTGCTTCACAACTAAAAGCACTAAAACTTGAGTTATCTGATGACTTGCTCATGCATTTAATTTTGATTTCAATTCTTGCACAATTCGACTAATTTATGGTTAGTTACAATTGTTAAAAGGGAGCTCATTTCATATTCTGTGCAAGAAGAAGAAAGTCTATAGCATGATTGAAAGTGACAAGTATCTCTAAGGATAAGTTATAAAGAATAAAAAAGTTGCATCCGATTTGGTTTAAAATAAATAGCAAAAGCCCTGAAATGATAAATCAAGCTGTTACTTTTGTAAAAATTCGGGACACGTGAAGAGAGATTGTACTAAATACCACACTGGCGTGTAAAGAAAAATACACTTCTCACTTTGGTTTGTTTTGAGATTAATTTAGTTTCAATACCTAGACATACTTGGTGGATAAATTTTGGTACCACTACTCACATAAGTGTGTTTATGTAGAAATCAATTAAAGTTGAGGCTATAAAGACGTTTAGGTTATTATTAAAGACCGATTACGATTTGAATATGAAAACGGTATTTGTGGTATCGTCTTTTAGATGGTATTTGACAACTTTTGTTACTATTGTTCAATTGGAAATAGTCACTTTGATATTTTCCTAAATCAAATATTGTGGGTACCAGTTCTTTAAACGGTTATGATAACCTATATTTGCTTAATGCGGTTGCCTCTTCTAAAGAAACCTTGTATGTGAGTTCACGTGGTATTAAACATAAATTAACCAATGAGAATTCTGCTTTATTATGTCACAAGCGATTAGGTCACATATCTCAAAAAAGAACAGAAAATCTTATGTAAGAAGGAATTCTTGATTTCTTTAATTTTTCAAACTTAACTATTTATGTTAATTATTAAGGGAAAACAAACAAACATAAAGAGATTAGGTGCTAATAGGATTTCGAACGTCTTATAACTAATTCATACGGATATCTATAGGCCATTCACTTTGAATTTTTGGAATGGTCAGTAATTTATTATGTTTATAGATGAATTTTTCTCACTATGGCTACCTATATCTCATTTATAAGAAATCTCAAACACTGGATATGTTTAATGCATACAAGACTGAGGTTGAAAAACAACTTAGTAAAAGAATTAAACAAGTCAGATCTTACCATAGTGGAGAATACTATGACAGATATGATGGATCGGAAGAACAACGTTTAGGGTTATTTTGCTAAATTTCTAGAGGAATGTAGAATCACCCCACAGTACATCAGAATCTCTCTAGGTTGAAGCATTAAAGACTGCAGCTTAAATTCTCAATAAAGTTCCAAATAAAGCAAATGTTTAGGAGTTACAATTTTTTTAAAAAAAGATTCTACTATTAGGTCAATTTTTGAAATGGGGAATGTCTGATTCCTTGAGGATGTAGAGTTTGCGGGGGAGATAATGTTATAAGGTTAAGGATTTTATCTTGGAGGAAAAATATATATATATTTCTTCTGTTACAATTGACAATGATCAGGATCAGAGACAAATTCTTGCTTTAAATCTTGTTCAAGAAGCAATTTTGGGTCAAAACAATATTACAAAATCCACTATACATAATCAAGCTATGGAATGAAATAATTTTAAAGAGTGAATTGATGTCATGCATAAAGAGATAAAGTTTATAAGTAACAATGATGTTTGGAAACTAATCTCATTGCCTGAAGGTACGAAACTCATTGGTTATAACTGGATATTTAAAATTAAGATGGATTCAAAGGGTGGTGTGGAGAGATATGAAGTTTGTCTTGTTGCAAATGACTTTATTCAAAAGGAAGGTATTGATATTAAAGAGATTTTTTCTTCAGTTACTATGAAAGACTCTTTTATGACTATTATGACATTTGTGACACATTTTGATCTTAAGCTACGTCAGATAGTTTACAAATTTAAAAAAAAAAATCTATGGGTTAAGTTGGTTTCCCATAATGGTATAACAAATTTCATCAAATAATTATCTTATTTGGTTTTGAGATGAATTCAATTGATGATTGTGTATATCACAAGTTTTATGGGAGTAAGCATATATTTTGGTATTTTACGTCGATGACATATTGTTTGCCTGCAATGATATAAGCTTATTGCACGAAGTTAAGAGATTTCTGTCATGAAATTTTGAAATGAAAAAAAATCTTTGTGACACCTCTTTTGTATTAAGGATATAGATACACAGGGATCGTTCTCCGTATATTTTTGGATTATTACAAAAGAGTTGTATCGATAAGGTTCTTAAGAGATTTGGGAT